CCATCCTGGGGGTGTTTGTGCCAAAATTGGGGGGGTTCTACTCAAAAACGCCGAGGTTTGTGCCCCAAAGGGGGACCTGCTCAAGGCAGGTACGTGGGCACCCCCAGCACCATCCAGGGGGAGTTGTGCCAAAATCATGGCAGTTCTACACAAAAACGCCCCAAAAGGGGACCTGCTCGAAGGGGGTACATGTGTTCCCCCCAGGACCCTCTGAGACCCCCCAAGATTTATTCTAGGGCTGCAAAGGAGGTTTTGCACCAAAATCAGGCATAAAGACAGTGGTTTTCCCCCATAACAGAGGGTTGTGCCAGTGTTTGGCCCCAAAAGGGGACCTGCTCAAAGGGGTCCCCCCACAGGACCCCCCTAAGATTTATTTTGGGGTGGTGAAAAGGAGGTTTCGTACCAAAATCAGGCACGAAAATGCTGATTTACCCCCCCCCCCCCAGAACAGAGGTTTGTGCCCCAAAAAGGGGACCTACACAAAGGGGTCCCCCCATGGGAACCCCCCAAGATTTATTCCAGGGGGAGGTTTTGTCCCAAAACCCGAGAGGTCGCCCCCAAAACCGCCGGTTTCTCCTGGTTTGTGCCAAGGGGGCGTTTTGGGGGGGGGGCCACACGCAGAGGGCAAAGGGGGTGTCCCACCCTTGGGCAGGCGCCATCACGGCGGAGGAGGCGCAGCGCTCGAGCGCCCTGAACATCGTGGGCATGGTGGGATCCATCGACAACGACTTCTGCGGCACCGACATGACCATCGGCACCGACTCGGCGCTGCACCGCATCATCGAGATCGTGGACGCCATCACCACCACGGCCCAGAGGTGACAGGGACCCCCCCGCGGCACGGCGGGACACGGGGGGGGCGTGGGGAGAGGCTGGGGGGGAGTCACCGATCCCTGGAGGGGTTTGGGAAGGGACTGGATGCGGTGCCGTGGGCTGGGTGACGGGGTTGGGTCATGGGTTGGGCTGGGTGATCCCAGAGGGCTTTTCCAACCTCTGATTCTGAAGGGGGATTGAAGATTGGGAGGGGCTGCCCAGGGAGGTGGTGGAGTCACCAATCCCTGGAGGGGTTCAAGGAGAGACTGGATGTGGTGCCATGGTCTGGGTGACAGGCTGGGGTTGGCTCATGGGTTGGGCTGGATGATCTCAGAGGTCTTTTCCAACCTGTGATTCTGAGGAATTTCTTCCCAGAGAGGGGGATTAAAACTTGGAAGGGGTTGCCCAGGGAGGCAGTGGAGTCACCAATCCCTGGAGGGGTTCAAGGAGAGGCTGGATGTGGTGGCAGGGTGGGGTTGGCTCATGGGTTGGGCTGGGTGATCCCAGAGGGCTTTTCCAACCTGTGATTCTGAGGAATTTCTTCCCAGAGAGGGGGATTAAAGCTTGGAAGGGGTTGCCCAGGGAGGTGGTGGAGTCACCAATCCCTGGAGGGGTTCAAGGAGAGGCTGGATGTGGTGCCATGGTCTGGGGGACAACGTGGTGGTGGGTCACGGGTTGGACTGGGTGATCTCAGAGGGCTTTTCCAACCTCTGATTCTGTGATTTGAATCATAGAATCATGGAATCAACTGGGTTGGAAAAGACCTCTGAGATCATCCAGTCCAACACCTGATCCAACCCCCCTGTGGTTTCCAGACTGTGGCACTGATGCCACATCCAGTCTCAGCTTAAAAACCTCCAGGGACGGAGGAATTTCTTCCCAGAAAGGGAATTAAATCTTAGAAGGGGCTGCTCAGGGAGGTGGTGGAGTCACCAATCCCTGGAGGGGTTCAAGGAGAGGCTGGATGTGGTGCCATGGTCTGGGGGACAACGTGGTGGTGGGTCACGGGTTGGACTGGGTGATCTCAGAGGGCTTTTCCAACCCGTGATTCCGTGATTCTCCTCTTTCCCACCCACAGCCACCAGAGGACCTTTGTCCTGGAGGTGATGGGGCGTCACTGTGGGTAAGTCCCGGCGCCGTCCCTCAGACCCAGATCCCCGGAGAGAAAGCACAGAAAAAAACCCCTAAAGAGCCCCTTTTGACCCCCCCGCAGGTACCTGGCCCTCATCACCGCCCTGGCCTGCGGGGCCGACTGGGTCTTCATCCCCGAGTCCCCCCCCGAGGACGACTGGGAGGACCATCTGTGCCGGAGGCTGACGGAGGTAGGGGGGGCTCCGGAGGGCCCCTGCTCCCTGTCCCGGTGCCCACTGTCCCCGTCCCGGTGCCCACTGTCACCCCCTGCCACCCCCCAGACCCGGGACGGCGGCTCCCGGCTGAACATCATCATCGTGGCCGAGGGGGCCATCGACAAGCACGGCAAGGCCATCACGTCCGACGACATCAAATCCGTGAGTCTGAGGGGGAAAGGCCCTTGTTACCCCCCCAGCCCGGCCGGGGGGCCGGATCCAGGGCTGGGGGCAGGATCCAGGTCTGGGGGGCCGGATCCAGGGCTGGGGGCAGGATCCAGGGCTGGGGGCAGGATCCAGGGCTGGGGGGCCGGATCCAGGGCTGGGGGGCAGGATCCAGGGCTGGGGGGCCGGATTCAGGGCTGGGGGCAGGATCCAGGGCTGGGGGGCCGGATCCAGGGCTGGGGGCAGGATCCAGGTCTGGGGGGCAGGATCCAGGTCTGGGGGGCAGGATCCAGGTCTGGGGGGCAGATTCAGGTCTGGGAGGCAGGATCCAGGTCTGGGGGGCAGATTCAGGTCTGGGGGGGCAGGATCCAGGTCTGGGGGGCAGATTCAGGTCTGGGAGGCAGGATTCAGGCACATCCCTGTCTGTGGGGACACATCTCTGTCTGAGGGGCCGGATCCAGGTCTGGGGACAGGATCCAGGCCCACCCCTGTCTGGGGGATCTGGAGGGCACATCCCTGTCTGTGGGATCAGACCCAGGCCCATCCCTGTCTGTGGGATCCGATCCATGCCCATCCCTGTCTGTGGGGACGGATCCAGGTCTGTGGGATCCGATCCATGCCCACCCCTGTCTGTGGGATCCGATCCATGCCCATCCCTGTCTGTGGGATCCGATCCATGCCCATCCCTGTCCCGGGGATCCGATCCATGCCCATCCCTGTCTGTGGGATCCGATCCATGCCCACCCCTGTCTGTGGGATCCGATCCATGCCCATCCCTGTCTGTGGGATCCGATCCATGCCCATCCCTGTCCGGGGGATCAGATCCATGCCCACCCCTGTCTGTGGGATCCGATCCATGCCCATCCCTGTCCGGGGGATCCGATCCATGCCCATCCCTGCCTTGCAGCTGGTGGTGAAGCGCCTGGGCTACGACACCCGGGTCACCATCCTGGGCCACGTCCAGCGTGGTGGGACCCCCTCGGCCTTCGACCGCATCCTGGTAGGCAGCTCCCCCTGTCCCACCCCGAGCCCGACGGGCAGGGGGGTCCGGGGTGGTGAGACCCCCTCCCCTGTGCCCACAGGGCAGCAGGATGGGGGTGGAGGCCGTCATGGCCCTGCTGGAGGCGACCCCCGAGACCCCCGCCTGTGTGGTGAGCCTGTCGGGCAACCAGGCCGTGCGCCTGCCCCTCATGGAGTGTGTGCAGGTGGTGAGTAGGGGGGGACACGGGACCCCCGGGACACCCCTGGGACACCCCCGGGACACCCCTGGGACACCCCTGGGACACCCCTGAGCTGCCCAGGCCGGGCCCACCCTGCACAATCCCACCCGTCTGTGCTCTCCCCGCCCAGACCAAGGACGTGACGAAGGCCATGAACGAGGGGCGCTTCGAGGAGGCCGTGAAGCTGCGGGGCCGGTGAGGGTCTGCGACCTGTCCCCGTGGGGACCCCCGGGGCCTGGGGCACCCCCATGGTCACACTGTGGCTCTGGTCACCTCCATGGTCACCCCCATGGTCACACTGTGGCTCTGGTCACCTCCATGGTCACCCCCATGGTCACACCATGGCTCTGGTCACCCCCACGGTCACCTCCATGGTCACACCATGGCTCTGGTCACCCCCACAGTCACACCATGGCTCTGGTCACCCCATGGTCACCCCCATGGTCACACTGTGGCTCTGGTCACCCCATGGTTACCCCCATGGCTCTGGTCACCCCCATGGTCACCCCATGGCTCTGGTCACCCCATGGTTACCCCCATGGTCACCCCATGGCTCTGGTCACCCCATGGTTACCCCCATGGCTCTGGTCACCCCCATGGTCACCCCATGGCTCTGGTCACCCCCATGGTCACCCCATGGCTCTGGTCATCCCTGGGCTCTGGTCACCCCCATGGTCACTCCATGATTCTGCCACCCCCACAGTCACCCCCACGGTCACCCCTGGACTCTGCCACCCCCAGACCCCCCCTCACCCCTCTTTCCCCCTCCCCCCCTTTTCCAGGAGCTTCGAGAACAACTGGGAAGTGTACAAGCTGCTGGCCCACATCCGCCCCCCGGCCACCAAGGTACGGCCGCGCCCGGGCTGGGGGGGCCTCGGGGGGCACCCCCCGGGCCCAGAGCCCCCCAACGCCGCTCTCTGCCCCCCCAGAGCGGGTACACCCTGGCCGTGCTGAACGTGGGGGCCCCGGCGGCGGGGATGAACGCGGCCGTGCGCTCCACCGTCCGCATCGGGCTCATCCACGGCCACCGCATGCTGGCCGTGCACGACGGCTTCGAGGGGCTCGCCCTCGGCATGGTGGGTGCCTGTCCCCGGGCTGGGACCCCGAGAGCCACCCCAAAACGGGGTGGGACCCGACAGCCACCCCAAAACGGGGTGGGACCCCAGTAGTGACCCCAAACCAGGGGTGGGACCCTGATAGCCACCCCAAAACGGGGTGGGACCCCGATAGCCACCCCAAACCAGGGGTGGGACCCCGATAGCCACCCCAAAATGGGGTGGGACCCGACAGCCACCCCAAAATGGGGTGGGACCCGACAGCCACCCCAAAATGGGGTGGGACCCTGATAGCCACCCCAAAACGGGGTGGGACCCTGATAGCCACCCCAAACCAGGGGGGGGACCCCGACAGCCACCCCAAAATGGGGTGGGACCCCAATAGTGACCCCAAACCAGGGGGGGACCCCAATAGCACTGACCCCAAACCGGGGGGGGGACCCCAATAGCACTGACCCCAAACCAGGGCTGTGACCCCATGACAGCTTCGAGGGGCTCGCCCTCGGCATGGTGGGTGCCTGTCCCCGGGCTGGGACCCTGACAGCCACCCCAAAACGGGGTGGGACCCCGATAGCCACCCCAAAACGGGGTGGGACCCCGATAGCCACCCCAAAACGGGGTGGGACCCCGATAGCCACCCCAAAACGGGGTGGGACCCCGATAGCCACCCCAAAACGGGGTGGGACCCCGACAGCCACCCCAAAACGGGGGGGGACCCTGATAGCCACCCCAAAACGGGGTGGGACCCTGAAAGCCACCCCAAAATGGGGTGGGACCCTGATAGCCACCCCAAAACGGGGGTGGGACCCCGACAGCCACCCCAAAACGGGGTGGGACCCCGATAGCCACCCCAAAACGGGGGGGGACCCTGACAGCCACCCCAAAACGGGGTGGGACCCCGATAGCCACCCCAAAACGGGGTGGGACCCGACAGCCACCCCAAAACGGGGGGGGACCCTGATAGCCACCCCAAAATGGGGTGGGACCCTGATAGCCACCCCAAACCAGGGGTGGGACCCCAATAGTGACCCCAAACCAGGGGGGGACCCCAATAGCACTGACCCCAAACCGGGGGGGGGACCCCAATAGCACTGACCCCAAACCAGGGGCACAGTGTTACCCCAATAGCACTGACCCCAAACCAAGGATGGGACCCCAATATCAGTGACTCCAAACCAGGGGTGGGACCCCAATATTGACCCCAAACCAGGGGTGGGACCCCAGTAACATTGTCCCCAAAACAGGGGTGTGACCCCAATATCACTGATATGGCTGCAGCCAGGCCAGTGGGACCCCAAAGACACCAAATCCTTCTCCTGTGCCCCCAAATCTCCTGTGCCCCCAAATCTCCTGTGCCCCCAAATCCTCCCCCTGTGCCCCCAAATCCTCCCCCTGTGCCCCCAAACCATCTCCCTGTGCCCCCAAATCTCCTGTGCCCCCAAATCTCCTGTGCCCCCAAATCCTCCCCCTGTGCCCCCAAACCATCTCCCTGTGCCCCCAAATCTCCTGTGCCCCCAAATCCCTCTCCTGTGACCCCCAAATCCTTCTCCTGTGCCCCCAAATCTCCTGTGACCCCAAATCCCTCTCCTGTGACCACAAATCTCCTGTGCCCCAAAATCTCCTGTGCCCCCAAATCCTCCCCCTGTGCCCCCAAATCCCTCTTCTGTGACCCCAAAATCCTTCTCCTGTGCCCCCAAATCCTCCCCCTGTGACCCCAAATATCCTGTGCCACCAAATCCCTCTCCTGTGCCCCCAAATCCTCCCCCTGTGACCCCAAATATCCTGTGCCCCCAAATCCCTCTCCTCCCCAAATCCTTCTCCTGTGCCCCCAAATCTCCTGTGCCCCCAAATCCCTCTCCTGTGACCCCCAAATCCTTCTCCTGTGCCCCCAAATCTCCTGTGCCCCCAAACCCTCCCCCTGTGCCCCCAAACCCTCCCCCTGTGCCCCCCTAACCCGCTGCCTTCCCCCCAGGTGGAGGAGATCAACTGGAACCGGGTCGGGGCCTGGACGGGCCTGGGGGGATCCAAACTGGGCACCAAGAGGTACCAGGGGGGGATCCCTTTGGGGGGGCCCAGGCCCAGCCCCCCACCCCGGGCGGGCTCAGCCAGGGGGGGATTTTCCCCTTGCCAGGACTTTGCCCAAGAAATACTTGGAGGAAATCAGCGCCAACATCAGCAAGTTCGGGATCCACGGGCTCGTCGTCATCGGGGGCTTCGAGGTGAGAGGGGGAAAATCCCGTTGGGAATGCGGAGTTCCCGTGGGAAAAGGGGCCTGTGGGTGCTGGGGGGCAGCAGGAGGGTTTGGGGTCGGGCTGGTTGGAATTTGGGAAGAGGTTCTTCCTCCCCCCCCAGAGCGGGGTCGGGCACTGGAAGAGGCTCCCCGGGGTTTGGTCACGGCCCCAAACCTGCCAGAGCTCAGGGACGGGGTTGGGATGATCCTCTCAGGGGTTGGGATTTGGGACTGGGGGGTTTTGGGGGGTCCTGAGCAGGGTCAGGGGTTGGACTGGATGATCCTGGTGGGACTGGTGGGATTTTGGGGAGTCCTGTGCAGGGCCAGGGGTTGGGATTTGAGGATTTTGGGGCAGGGGTTGGATTGGATGATCCTGGTGGGATTTTGGGGGCTCCTGTGCAGGGCCAGGGGTTGGGATTTGGAGATTTTGGGGATTTTGGGGATTTTGGGGCAGGGGTTGGACAGGATGATCCTGGTGGGATTTTGGAGGATCCTGTGCAGGGCCAGGAGTTGGGATTTGGAGATTTTGGGGATTTTGGGGCAGGGGTTGGACTGGATGATCCTGGTGGGATTTTGGAGGATCCTGTGCAGGGCCAGGGGTTGGGATTTGGAGATTTTGGGGATTTTGGGGCAGGGGTTGGACTGGATGATCCTGGTGGGATTTTGGGGAGTCCTGTGCAAGGGCAGGGGTTGGGATTTGGAGATTTTGGGGATTTTGGGGCGGGGGTTGGACCGGACGGTGCCGGTGGGTCCCTCCCAACACGGGCTGTCCCGTTTGCCCCCCGGTGCCCCCCCAGGCGTTCACGGGCAGCCTGGAGCTGGTGGAGGGGCGGGCACGGTACGAGGAGCTCTGCGTCCCCCTCTGCGTCATCCCGGCCACCGTCTCCAACAACGTGCCCGGCTCCGACTTCAGCATCGGCGCCGACACCGCGCTCAACACCATCACCACCGTGAGCACTGCCTCCTTCCCACCCCAAACCCCCATTCCACACTCAACACCATCACCACCGTGAGCACTGCCTCCTTCCCACCCCAAACCCCCATTCCACACTCAACACCATCACCACTGTGAGCCCCCTTCCCACCCCAAACCCCCTTCCACACTCAACACCACACAGGTGGAGCCCCTTCCGTACTTCCCACCCCAAAACACCTCAATCCACACTCAACCATCAAACCGTAGCCCTTCCTTCCCACCCCAAACACGCCCCTTCCCACTCAACACAAACACCATCACCACGGTGGCACTGCCGCCTTCCCACCCCAAACCCCCTTCCACACGTCAACACCATCACCACTGGGACCCTTCCGTCCCACCCCAAATCCCATCCAACTCCAACCCACTCAACACCACAGCCCACTGTGAGCCACTTCCCACCCCCAAATCCAGTCCACACTCACAAACACCATCACCACTGGGAGGAGCCCCCTTCATTCCCACCCCAAAAAAAACCCCCATTCCAACACTCAACACCATCAACCACTTTTTTTGGTGAAGCCTCCGTCCCAAGCCTCCTTCCCACCCCAAATCCCCTTCCACACTCAACACCATCACCACTGTGAGCACTGCCTCCTTCCCACCCCAAACCCCCATTCCACACTCAACACCATCACCACTGTGAGCACTGCCTCCTTCCCACCCCAAACCCCAGTTCCACACTCAACACCATCACCACTGTGAGCCCCCTTCCCACCCCAAACCCCCCTTCCACACTCAACACCATCACCACTGTGAGCCCCCTTCCCACCCCAAACCCCATTCCATGCTCAACACCATCACCACTGTGAGCCCCCTTCCCACCCCAAATCCCATTCCACACTCAACACCATCACCACCGTGAGCCCTTCCTTCCCACCCCAAATCCCAGTTCCACACTCAACACCATCACCACTGTGAGCACTGCCCCCTTCCCACCCCAAATCCCAGTTCCACACTCAACACCATCACCACTGTGAGCCCTTCCTTCCCACCCCAAATCCCAGTTCCACACTCAACACCATCACCACCGTGAGCACTGCCCCCTTCCCACCCCAAATCCCAGTTCCACACTCAACACCATCACCACTGTGAGCACTGCCTCCTTCCCACCCCAAATCCCAGTTCCACACTCAACACCATCACCACCGTGAGCCCCCTTCCCACCCCAAACCCCCTTCCACACTCAACACCATCACCACTGTGAGCACTTCTGCCCGCGTGTCCCTCCCTTCCTCCTCCCATCCCACCTTCCCACTCCACCCCAAAACCCCCGTCCACACTCAACACCATCACCACTGTGAGCCCTTCCTTCCCACAACCCCAAATCCCAGTTCCTTCCACACTCAAACACCATCACCCCACTGTGAGCACTTCTGCCCCCTTCCCACCCCAAATCCCATTTTCCACACTCAACACCACCATCACCACTGTGAGCCCTTCCGTCCCACCCCAAATTACATGTCCACACTCAAAACACAGCAACCACCGTGAGCCTGCCCCCTTCCCACCCCAATCCCATTTCCACACGCAACCCATCACCACGGTGAAGCACTGCCCTCCGTTCCCACCCAAATCCCAGTTCCAAACTAAACACCAATCACAACCGTGAGAGCCCCCTCTTCCCCCCCACCCCCAAACCCCCTTCCACACACTCAAACATCACCACTGTGAAAGCACTGCCTCCTTCCACCCACCCCAAAAACCCCCTTCCACACTCAACACCATCACCACTGTGAGCCCCCTTCCCACCCCAAATCCCAGTTCCACACTCAACACCATCACCACCTGTGAGCCCGCCCTCCCCACCAACCCACAAAACCACCATTCCACGCCCCATGCTCACAACCATCAACCACTGTGAGCCCCACTTCCCCCCAAAAATCCTCCCTACCCAATCCAGTTCCACACTCAGACCCCTTTTCTCCCCTCAAACCCCTTTTTCCCCCAAATCCTTTTCCCCCCATGCCTTTCCCCCCCTCAAACCCCCTTTCACCCCCCCAAATCCTCATTTCCATCCCCCCAAATCCTCCTTTTCCCCATCCTAACCCTTCCACCTCCTCACACCTGTGAACCCAGCCCCCTTTTTCCCCCCCAAACCCCCTTTTTCCCTTCCCAAATCCTCCTTTTCCCCACCCCAAATCCTCCTTTTCCCCACCCCAAATCCTCCTTTTCCCCACCCCAAATGCCCTCCTTGTTCCCCACCCGTAAATACTTCCACCGTCCTCACAGCCTGGGAACCGCCCCAAAAAGGCCCCCGTTTTCTTTTGTTCCCGATTCCTTCTTCCTTCCCCTCCTCCTTCTCTCCTTCCCGCCCAACACCACCTTTTTCCCCACCCCAAATCCTCCTTTTCCCCACCCCAAATCCTCCTTTTCCCCACCCTAATCCTTCCACCTCCTCACACCTGTGAACTCAACCCCCTTTCCCACCCCCCAAACCCCCTTTCCCACCCCCCAAACCCCCTTTTCTCCCCCCCAAACCCCCTTTTGTCCCCCCTAACCCCCTCTCCCCCCTCCGCAGACGTGTGACCGCATCAAGCAGTCGGCGGCGGGGACCAAGCGCCGCGTCTTCATCATCGAGACCATGGGCGGCTTCTGCGGCTACTTGGCCACCATGGCGGGGCTGGCGGCCGGCGCCGACGCCGCCTACATCTACGAGGAGCCCTTCAACATCCGCGACCTGCAGGTTGGGGGGCTCCTTTCGGGGCTTTGAAGGGTTTTTTTTTGGCGTCCCCGCGCCGGGCGCCTTCCCCCGATGCCAAACCCGCCCCCGCCCGCAGGTCAACGTGGAGCACCTGACGGAGAAGATGAAGACCACGGTGCAGAGGGGGCTGGTGCTCAGGTGTGGGCTGGTCTGGGGGGCGTTAGGGGGTGGTTGGGGGGTGGCTGAGACCTGTCACACTCATCACACCCGCTCCCCCCCCCACCCCCCCGGCGTAGGAACGAGCGGTGCAACGAGAACTACACCACGGACTTCATCTACAGCCTCTACTCCGAGGAGGGCAAGGGCATCTTCGACTGCAGGCAGAACGTCCTGGGGCACATGCAGCAGGTGGGGAAGGGGCTGGGGAAGGGGCTGGGGCACACGCAGCAGGTGGGGAAGGGGCTGGGGCACACGCAGCAGTTGGGGAAGGGGCTGGGGAAGGGGCTGGGGCACACGCAGCAGGTGGGGGGACCCCCCACAGCCCTGGGGAAGGGGCTGCTCCCTCCCCTGGGGTTCTGCCCCCTCCCCTGGGGCTCTGCCCCCTCCCCTGGGTTCTGCCCTCTTCCCATGGGGTTCTGCCCCCTCCCCTGGGTTCTGCCCCCTCCCCTGGGTTCTGTCCCCTCCCCAGGGGCTCTGCCCCCTCCCCTGGGGTTCTCCCCCCTCCCCTGGGGTTCTGCCCCCTCCCCTGGGCTCTCCCCCCTCCCCTGGGCTCTCCCCCCTCCCCTGGGCTCTGCCCCCTCCCCATGGGGTTCTGCCCCCTCCCCTGGGCTCTCCCCACGCCCGGGGGGGGGGCTCCTTTCTTGGCCCCCTCCCGGGGCGCTGCCCCTCCCCAGGGGGTTCTGCCCCCGGCCCTGGCGCTCTTCCCCCCCCTCCCCCCCTCCCCTGGGCTCTCCCCCCTCCCCTGGGCTCTGCCCCCTTCCCCTGGGCTCTGCCCCCTCCCCTGGGGTTCTACCCCCTCCCCTGGGTTCTGTCCCCTCCCCAGGGGCTCTGCCCCCTCCCCTGGGTTCTGCCCTCTTCCCCTGGGGTTCTGCCCCCTCCCCTGGGCTCTGCCCCCTGTGTTGACCCCGGCTTGTCCCGGCCCAGGGGGGCAGCCCCACGCCCTTCGACAGGAACTTCGGCACCAAGATGGGCGCCAAGGCCGTGGCCTGGATCACCGGCAAGATCAAGGAGTGTTCCCGCCACGGTGGGTGCCCCCCCTGGGGCTGCCTGGAGGATCTGGGGGGCAGGGAGGGGGGTTCCCACTCTTCCCCACAGCCAAAGGCAGCCCCCAGCCCTTGCCCGGTGTTCTCCCATGTCCTGACACCCCGAGGGGCTCAACCCCCAGAGCCCCCTCCCCGCTGAGCAACAGCAACTCCCGGGAACACAAACCCCTTTTCCCCACCCCAAACCCTTCCATCTTTGTGAACCCGAATCCCTTTTCCACCCCCAAACCCTCGTTTTCCCCACCCCAACCCTTCCACCTCCTCACGCCTGTGAACCCAAACCCCTTTTCC